TTACACAGACATTTGGCTACTTTGATCTCCCCAGGTCCTTTTCAGATTACTTTCTTTTAAATACTAATTTCCTGACCGACTTATGTCATGCAGGGCATTTCTATAGCTCCTCTTCTTTTTTGACATAAAACCTAAATGAGAAACACCTGGCAACTGCTTGCTCCTGCTGCTGTGTCTGCTGTACTGTACTTGCTGCGGTAGGCTGCTGTCAGCCCAGTGCCCCAGTGGCCTGTCTTTGTGTTTACCACTTCCTGATGATGACTGCTGGTTTCCCACAACTGAAGGACCTGACAGAGTTGGCAAAGCTAACTGCACTGGAATGCAGAACTGAAACCAATAAGCATAAGAAGTGAAGAGACAAACTATGCATTCTGTGAAGGTTACAAAAAATAAAACGGCCCTAGTGTAGGCCTGAGACGTAGCTCACTAAAATAAAAGTAAGAAGCAGTAAACTTCCACTCAGACACTCATTATAAAGACAAGGCTCTGTGATTTTGATAAATGTATTTTATCTTGCCAGTAATTTCTCCTTTTGTAACTGTATTTCAGTAACCAATAGTACATGCTCGTAAGAAAACACTGGTGAATTTACTAAATAGAATATTTGAATTGTCTTCATAATAATTGCACATTTAAATAACCTGCACTTTCCTAATTACTTAAAAAAGTAAAAAAAAATATTTTCCCTGCAAATACATATGGAAATTATAGATCAGTTAAGAACATAAAGACTTTTTATATTTGCATTACCACACAGATCTTCATTACAAAGCATTTTCAATTATGAGAGCAAACAATTTATATAAATCTCTGCAAATGGTAGCATGTTGAAGCTTTCTTATGTTATTTAAAGAAGTTCTTCAGCTTCTCACTGTGTCTCTCTCATCGAGCAACACTTCAGCAAACCTCTCTCCAACTTTTTACTGTTGTCAGTGTAACTCCACATTTTGTTAACTATAATCACTTTCTCCAGAATAAACAGCAGTTAAGTAGAGATAATTTATTGATGACATTAAGCTTACATATGCTGCAATGAGACCAAAACCTCAACCCATTATCTGAAAGTCAGGAGAGAAGGAGATTTAGAGTTGCCGTAAATGTCAAAGCAGCAAAGCAAACTAACCAGGAGTTCATGGGACTCTCATTTTCTCACAAGAGAACCTTTTCTTATTGTCAGAAAGGGAATGAGATAAACGCTGCCAAACTTTAAGTAATGGTAATTCAAAATCAGCAATCAATTTGAAATATTTTAAAGACGAACAGGACGTAACAAAGCACTTGGTCAATAAATAACAACAAACAATTCACACGTATCTGGTAGTAAAATACATATGACAGACATTAAGTCTTACTTTTATTCAGCCTTCGCATAAAAAACCTCTCAGAGTGTTCCCAGCCCCCTAAAGCAGCGGTAGCTATCATGGCAACTTACCGGATGAGTAATGATGTCGATGTGACAAGACAAGAGTAACCGTAGCAACTGTAACCTGCAATTCCTGTGTAGCTATTGTCAGATTTAATGTGGCAGAGGCCAAGAGTAAAATGAAGAAATGAACTATGGTATCTGACATGTTCAGTGCCCCACACTTAAGTCATAGCTGGCAGAAATTAATTCAGAAGGACTTTTCGTAAAGACTCCCCGTGTTGCATTCTAGTTTCATCTTAGGCATTAAGTGGTCTGAGCCAGACGTCTGCTGTCAAACCAAAATAGAGTTTTACTACACATCTATTGTCCATTTTCTTAAACACATTTAATTGGATTTCTTTTTAACTTATAGAAGTAAAACTGTTTTCGGTTTCCTGATGTCTGAATTTATGTTTTGGTGTTTTTCTGTTTTACAAGTATTCACACGTGTGTGCAAATCAGGAGAATGTTTTATTGATATCTTATCCAGACGATTTTCGAGCAATTTGAATCCACCACTTGGCAGGGAACGGCAAGAGCTGAGTAGCAAGCAGCAGTCAATGAACTGTGATCCAGAAACCTGAATTAAGCAGTCACAATCCATTTTCCTCAGATGAGCGCCCAGCAGGCTGTTAACTGTACTTTTTCAGAGGTACCAGGGCAAGGCACTGGAAACGATATTCAGGTCACAGCAAATACTGCTTTCACCCACAAGTGCTAGGTATTCTCCGCTTCAGAAAGATCTTCAGTGAAACGAGAAGAATGTGCTTTTATCAGCAGCATATAAGTCAAAAAGTACCATAATCTCATGTTTTAATGATTCTCTTGTATCACAAAATTTAGAGACATTAAAGACAGCAAACTGTGATTTGACATATATGTATTACATTTAATACAGACCAGCTGCAAAATGTAGCTTGAAATCTGCTGGCATAAAATCCTTAATCTTTTTGTTCCCTTCTATTGTCAGCTAGTGCTAATACTTTTATAGCACCACCCATTCACTTATACAAAGTTGATGTATTTTTACAGAGTTCTGTTAATGGACTCGCTGAAAAACACAGCCATTTGAACAAACTCTGGCTCCAGCAAACACAGCTGTGGCAATACTCTTATTTCTAAGAACGTATCTTGAGCTAAACCTGTAACAACCTTCCAGCTAGCCCTAAAAGAAACAGCAGCAGGCAGAAAAGTCCAATAACAGCAACCGTATCTATTAATAATGCATATCCAATAGTTAGAAAATGGATGGATGGAAAATCAATCTGTTAATCCAAATACCCTTAATGGTTGAATACGAATATCTCACATGAAACACTACTCCAAAGCAACATAGTTGCTATATTATTATTGATGCTGATTTATTACAGATTCAAGAAAAATACACTCTTTATGTAGATATTTTAATTCTATTAGTTTAAAAAAAACAATTCTTAGGGAAAAAGAAATGTAATATTATAATGTCCATTAAGACCACTGACTAATGAACTTAATTCAATGCAATTTGACCATTACCATCTAAACACTAAATCACTTCAGGGTCTTAAAGTACAGCCTGTGCACCTGATGTCAGTATGTCAAAACTGAATTAGTATGGAACTGTGTGATACTCATTACAGAGGTCATAACATTTCCATATTTCTCCTGTTATAAACATCTGTTCCTGACTTCTTCCAACATCTGTGTCACTGTTAAATGGAAATACATCTCTTCCATAAATGCTGGCAATTCTACAGAGTCATAAAGTAAAAAGTATGATATTCTCATTCACAGAACAGGACTAAGGATCATCACACTTATTCACACTAATATGTTACAATTAGTTTATCCAGTCATTTCTCTTGCTTGTTTGTAAAATTAAAAAATCTGTTGTTTTTCAGTGCAATTTTGTTGAAACAGTCAGACATACTGTACTACTAAATCTATTACAATTGAGTATTGTACAGAAAAAAATAATGTAGAAGTCTTTTGTATAGCCTACACCATATTTCAGGCTGAATTCTAATTATGTCTGATTAAAATCAAAGACAACTGTTGATATTTAAGCTACTATTTGCACATTTACCCAGTCATCTAGATAAGCTGAAAGTTAAAAAAATAGCAAAACTACATTGAACTACATTTACTACAACTAAATAACATAATCACCTTATAATGATGCTACTTATAATGACTAAAATTACCCTTATAAGTAACTAGTACAGTAATTTATTCAAATAACCCTGCCATCTACTGACATTGAATAAATACTGCATTCATTTACAAATACAAACTGGGCTACGCACTTAATTTAAGACACTACAGGAGTTTAAAACTGAAATAATGATAATGATAACTTCACAGTTTTTATCTATATATCTAGCTATATATGCACATTTAGAAACAAGAAAAAGCAGAGTGAAATCCTATAGACACAGGGAAGAGGAAGGCTTTCTTTAAAGTGTTTCTAACCGCCTAAATTAGTTTGACACAAAGGAACTGATTTTTGGTCAAAAAGCAATGAGTGCAACAGAGAAGTAAACGCATGTTTTTGGCAGAAAAAAAACATATTTCATTAGTATTGAAATATTATTTATACGTTTACATACAAACAAAAAAGCAAGAAAAACAAGTTCTTATATGCTGCATTCTACATTTTTCTTCTTTAATATTCATTAATGAATACAATAAATTTAAAAGCACTGAAAACACTACCTACTCATAATGATGTAAACGTATGGCATCATTCTTATTTTTCGAATGGAAAAGTCATACACCGTGTTTCTGTATATGCCTACAGCTTTTCAAAGATCAACTGAGAAAGAAACAAGCAATTGACAAACCATGAATACACTTCTTTCGCTTCTAGATTTCCAAGCACAGCTGCATTTCATGTGTCTACTATAACAACCGACTTAAAAGTCTGCTGTAAAACTAAGTTGTATTTGTGGGCATCCCACATGCATAACGCTAGTTTTCAATTAAATCCAAAGTAAACCAAACACTTTTGACACAGCTTCAATTAGTGTTCAACCACGCTTAGTAAGAAAATATGAAGACCTATTACAGGGAAAGTTATTAAGTCCCAGGAAAGTTTATGTTACAAAAACATACCCTAAGGTTTTTACGCATTTTCAACTGAGTCATGACAACATCACAGAAAAATGCAGAATTTGGGACACAACTACGCCTACATAACCAGCATTCTTTTCGTCTTTTTAGCACAGTCAAACACTCCTTAGGATCCCAGGTAACAATTATTTAAAAGAAATTCACCTTCACTATTTCAGCCATAGCCTAAACTTTTAAAACGCCTCAGGTTATCTCTTCATAACTCAATTGCTACCTTTGATTTATGTTTTTATGTAAAAGGCATGAAGCAAATTACAACTATATCCTACAAGCTTGCAGAAAGAAAATTATACCTGTAAGGGGTACTGAGAGGAGCAATTACAATAAAACAAGGACTCATACAGCAGTTAGAAAGTTGAAGATGTAATTATTTACCTGGTTAGAGGCATTGTCTAATTAAAAACAATGCTGGCAATCTTAATTCAAGAAATGGCATAAATAACGTAACACCATATCCTTTGAACAAGAGAAGGTCTGAACTCACAGTCTGTACAGCTTCATTGTTCCAAGGAAAAGTAGTTCTGGCAGCACTTGTAGATTATTCCTATTCAGTCGCCTGGGAATAACAAATAACAAATATAAACATATGTGAAAACGTTCGAATAAATAATTATAGTAAAATAGTTTTAGAAATTCTTAACTGATTTCACTTTATCAAACTAAATCTATAACCTTCCATATCTTTCGCAAGGATACGAATGCCTAGAGGGATATGACTTTAAGAAAAGTAAATGATATTTTAAACAACAGTTAAAAGTGCCCTGCAACAAGCTGGATAAACTTTTAATAAAAATATTAACATATTATTGCAAACACCCTATAGAACTGTTACTGTCACTTTAAAATTAAGAAACATCAATGCGATCTGAACTTCTAATTTAAATCAAAGTAAGAAGCCAGCATCTAGCAAACACTGTCACAAAGGATGGGTAAAAAAACAGATGTGGGAAAAACAAACAGCAACCCAGCTACGGAATTTGTAAAAAGGTCTTTACAGTGCAAACAGGCCTTCTCTCCACAATTTACTTTAAAAGTAATAAAAAAGATCACATTAGCATCCCATGCTCAAGTCAGAAAGAAATTTACAGCCCAAAAGGAATATTTTAAAATGATAAAAGAATCTTTATGTTAGATTTAAAAATGTAAATAGATTACCAAACAACCAGATCAGGATTACTGTGTTTTACGAGTATACTATCAGTAATTGCATGGGTCTCCACACAACACATCACAAGTTATCTCTCAAGAGTGTTTAAGATTGTGGTGACAAAGATGTTAACTGTGAAAGGGGAAAAAACAAAAATATAAACATTATTTCACGGTATCTGTGTCTTTTCATGTTTTTGATTAGGTAATGAGAGCCTAAAAAAGATTTTCAGAATGATACAGGTCCTTTAAAAAGTCACTAAAGAAAACAAAGTTGAAAATTCTTAAGGCAGAACCTAAGGAATGCCATAATATCTTAAACAGAGTGTTTAGATGTACAGTATCTTTCACGTACAAAGATATTATTTTAAACTTAATTCAGATGCTACTTTGAAAGACCATATGAACTTTTAACTTTCTAAATGCAACTTACCAAGGCAGTAAGACAGTTACAAAACAGCTATGCATAACAATCAGTGTTTGGATTTGCTCAACAACCAGTCTTTCCACATAATTCCATCACAGCACAATGTTCAGTCAGTCCCCTTAGAACTTCATTAAGCTGAGAACACCATTAATTACGGAGCTTTCAGCAACTAAAGAACAGGAAAATCATAACACTGATCTAACCAGCAATCACAAATTATCTAACAATTAAAATTTTCTATTTTAATTAATTGAATTAAGCTAAATTATACTAATTGAATCAAACATCAAGTGTAGGATTAATAATGTGATCTTGGTGGCAGGGTGAAAGTTGTATAATTTGAGACTAAGTGTTACATTAGACTAAATGTAAAAGGGCATATATTTTTTTCCATTCTATCTTGCAATAACAGTGGTATGTGTGGCTGTCTGTGTTCTGAAAAGTCAAAATGTCATTGATATAAAAATATTAATACTTAATAGACTTTGTGGACAAATGAGATGAGATCTGAGTGATAATTTCTGTATAAATAAGTATATTTGAGAATATCATCCCAAACCAAACTAGTAATTATTTCCAAACATATTACAAATGTATTCTTGATAAAGATTATTTTATTGCTCTTTGTATCATTATGTGTCTGCTTCCCACTACTTAATTTTAATTTAAAGAGGTCACTAATGAGAGAGGAATATTCCCCATGATTAGATGAAATTAGAGGTCATAGATTGTAAAATTAATGCACTGAACATTACAAATGCTCAAAGAATTTAAATAAAATACTCCAAAAACTATTGGAGACTATGAATGACCTCACCTATGAAATGTGCAAAACAATATGAGTTACTTAATACACATCTTAATCAACAGGAAAAATTTGGACACATTTCCCTCTGCACTTTCCAAGACACTTCAATAACTTCAATAACTAACTAAAAAACAGAATCATTAACACAAGGGAAAGAACATCTTGATTTTGCTACAATATCCATAAATAGCACAGCAGATAAGACCAATTCCTGTTAGTGCCAGCATCATTAAGAACAACAAAAGTAACATAATGAATCTACTATCAAATATAATGTTCTGTAAAATTTTAATGATAAGGCCAGAGAAACCTAAATGAGAACTGCATATATCAAAGTAAAAAAGACCACATTTTACAGCTTAAGGAGCTCTACAGTGGTCCTCTGGGAATACCTTGTCTGCACCACTTAGAGCAGGAATAAACAATAGTGAGCTTCATCATAAATAAAGAACTCTAAAAATAGGATGCTTGGCACATTGCAGATTTAAATGATATGTCCTTGGATCCCAAACTATTAACAAAACCTATAACTGTTTCTGTTCATGTTTCTTGGTCTTTGGATGCATGCACCTGAATTGAAATTTGTGTACAAACAAGCATCAGAGAAATCAGAAAAAAAGCAAACATTAAGTTCACATGATTAGATATTATTAATTTGAGATGTCACAATTTAAATTAAACCCCAAAACAAGTAGTTCAAATTCTTAAGGTTTTTGCATACTCCAGCAGTTTTGTGTTCTTTGATATCTGTTTCAAATAGTAGGTCTATATCATTGATATCAGCAAAAAAATGACTTTTAAATTAATTAGGAAATAAGGCAAGTTCACATAACAAAAGTTTGGACAGAGGACAAATCTAAATGGTAAAGTACATACGAGCATACAGACACAGAGGCATTTGTATGTTTGGTGATTTGTATACCATTTGTATGTCTCTGCGTGATTAGAACTGTAAACAATGTCTAAGAGTTTATGAATAATGTACCACATTAAAATGTCCTGTGCTTTCATTTGGCTTCTTTACATCATTTCCATGCTTAAACCACATTTAAAAAGAAAGACAAAATTGGCAATCATCTAGTATAATTAAAAGCAATGAGATTTGTGTTAGACAGAAAGTCTTTCTTAAAACAACTCCAACTAAACTCAAAAACATATTGCATATCCCTAGCCTTTGTAATTAGTATTGTTCATATCTTCTTTTCTTCAATTCTTTGTGGTAAAGAAAGTATTACATTCTCACTCAGAACAAAGAAGGATTAGTTTCTGGGCCATATTCTTGATTAAAAGTGAAGAGCATGGTATTTTTGTCAAAGCCTGATCCATAGCATAGTCTATACCTGACAGAATTAGTCACACCAACCACAGCCTGGCTTTTCAGAAAGGAAATAGTTTCATTTCTCAACGTGAGACCATTGCACTAAATCTTTTAGGTTGGGTTTTGATCATACAATTATAAAAGAAATAACACAGATGATAAAGCGTTCCAAATCGATCAACATGTGCAGACAGTCTACGACACTTCTTTCCTAAGCTTCCAATTGTTATAATATGAGCACCTCTAGCTGCTTCTTTTGTGTGTCTCCCAACAAAAATTCAACTCCGATTTCTACATTACAGTTAATGTGCTTAAATAAGTGTCAAGATTTATAGAAAAAAGGCTGCTTTTGTGAATTATATAGTTACCATGAGATTTTGGGATTTATGCATTTGAAAGAACTGATTCTTCAGAGTTTTGCTGTAAAGTCTTTCATACTGTATCAGAAAATATATTAATCTTCTAATTGCTGCTTGTTGTGGAACTACTACGTTGTCGTTTCTCTCCAGATGAATAGGATCTCTCATGAGTTGGTGTCAGACATTATGACATAACAAAAAAGAAAAGCTTGTAAGACTTCTGAGAAAGTAGTTAGTTGCACCAGATCACAAGAAAGACTTAAGCAAATAAACATTGCAGTAGTCTCTCTCTTACCTGTACGAGTTCATACCACTAAAAATGAGAAATCTTTCACATTGTTTACACTTTGCTTCTTTCAAGAATTTTTTAAAATTTTAAAGCAAAAACAAACATTGTTGCTAGAGTAAAATACATTTGAAAGACTGTATTCACAGCTTAACTCAAGTTTCCTAAGAAATTCTCCTAGAATTCAATGTTCCCTGGAGATGAACTGGCTGTCCGACAACAATGTCTCTACATCAAATGGACCTGACAATTGCAAACAAAAAAAATTTTCACCGGTTATTTGCAAGAAAATATGAAATATTTGTTCTTAGCCAACAGCTGTGGTTTCCCAAAAAAATGCTCAGAGATGGAAATCATTCTTCATGTAAAATCACAAAGTGTAATGAAAAACAAACAATGAAAATACATGTGTAGTGATTAATTACAAGATCTGTCCCTGTGTCATGTAGACTTCATGCACAGGATTGCTTTATCGCTACTTATTTTAAAAACCTAAATAAACAGAACTTACAGTCTTTCTAGCTCTTTCAAATCCTGGAATGCTCCCCTCTCAATCGTGCTGATCTTATTCTCCATGAGTTGCCTGGAAAAGCAGGACAGGCAGGTCAGTTAATGCATCATGAACCAGATTCCAGTTAACACCTCAAATTACTTCTTTTACTCAAGTGCTGGCCCCACTCCCCACCTTCATCATCCACCTGATTGATCTCAGCAATGCCTCTACCAGTCTTTAGACTACAGGTCTAATTTCCCGCAGCCGAGACTGTTGTCACTCAACAGCGACAGAGGCTTGTGTGAAGACAAATTAGAGAAGCAGCCACTTTGAGCACAAAAACCACACAGTAGCACATCTAGAAAACCTAGTCCTATACTTTGTTTTCTGGCGGACACTATAAAGCACCAGATAAGAATGACACCACTGATTTGGGTCATAATATATATTTCTTTAGCTTTAATAAGAATATAAAATTAATTTCACAAGATAATACAGGTTATTTATTCAGAAAGTAAGAAAAAAAAACTTACAGGACTCTTAAATGCCTTAGTCCTGCAAAATCAGACTTTGTAATTCTTGTGAGGTTATTTGCATTCAAATCTCTGAAACAGAAGAGACACAGAAAGAGAAAAATTAACTTATTTGGTCTTTTTCCAGCATTACATATTGTGGGTAGAAACATTGTTTATATTTATGTTAACCCATGAAATAAATTCAATACCTCACTGCGCAGATTTTAAAAAATGCAATGTGATTTGTAAACATAAAGAATGGCATAAGCAGAATTAAAAGATTTTAAGTAGAAAAAGCTTTTTATTAAACTGTAGTGCAAGAAACATTCCTCGGGGGTTTAGTTTAGTTTTAAATTCTTCAGCATACTGTATTCCTTTGTCCATAGGTAAAATAAGTAAGTTTGCATAAAAAGTGCATAAAACTGATTGTGTTGTATACTGTACATGTGATGTTAAAAGTTTCCGACTACAATTGTACGCCTGTATACACATATTTTTCGGTTTACTTCTTCCTGTGGAATACATTAACTTTTAGATCTGTGATTTCACAGCTGATAGATCAAAATTAACTAAGATTAGCCTTAAATTAAACATCGTTGAAATCTTGTTTAGTATTTATGTATTTCACCGGATCACTGAGGATTAAAGATGTTGAAATTTTAAATTACCTTCGTTGCTGTGAGTTTAGTTATTCAGATGAAAATCACAAAAGGTGCATAAAAACAAGAGCAACGTTTCTGTCAAAAGATCGCGATCGTCTTCATGCTTGCAAGTGCTATCGATTCTGGGGGTTAAGGAAATTTGAAACCAGGACAACAAGCAGAGCAGCAAACCAACTTCAGAAATCTAGCATTCATCGTGATTATCATAGCGAATCCAGATTTGCCTCCAGACTCATTCATATTTTATTTATTTTATTTCTGAAGCTAATTTTTGCACTCTCCTCAGTGTTAAATCCTTTATGGGTAGCCCGATAAATCTTTCATTTCATCATTATATATAAATATCTTTGTGTGTGTGTATCTTAACCGTTTCAATTATTTAAAAGGCTTAAGCATTAAAACTTCAGAAACGGAAAAGAAGCTCCCTGGATAATAATCTACCGCGTCCGTAAACATATCTAATGCCTGTAAACAGTGGCAGCGCATGCATGGTCGACTGCACACAGTTCCCTACACTAGCTTTCCGCACGCGTAATGAGTAGAATATAAGGCGCTTTTATCGCACACACTGAAAATTGGAGATACCACACGAAAGGTGCTAAAGGTGACGTCATAGAAAACTCCCAAATCCTTACTGATCCACTTAACAGCGGCATCGTATTGTGTATGGTTATTTACAACCCAGAACACTTCTGTACCCTCCTAAAAAGGCTGCAATTGATTTTGTATACCTTGTTGGCTTTATTTAAAAAAGAAATTCCAGGCTACTACCATGTTTTAACAGCCTACATCGTGTGTCTTAGTTCTTTGTAATGTTCCCCGTCAGTAACAGAAAACTTTTAGTATTAATGCTAATTAAAACTTAGCATGATATACTATTTACACATTAGTACGTTATATTAATAAACAGTTTTCAATTATTTATCTATTAAAATAAACGGTATTAGTACTAATGGTTGCATTAGAATGGTATGAAAAGTGCCAAATAATTTTCAAGAACTCAAGCTAACCTGCATTTTTGATATGTGAATTCTTCTCATATTCAAAGAAAACGGAGTGGCTGAAATAAATATTTACGATTCTTTAAATACAGTATATTTAACACAGTCGGGCAGCCCAAACTATCTTTGCGTTAGGTATTCTGTCATCGGTGTTGTCACTGTAACACACCATGATAAAGCATGATAAAGCACCGCGTATTGATGCAGTTTCTGTAAAACCCCAAACAGACGATAACCCTCACATTGATACATTCTTTTCTTTCGAACCTTGGCAATCTAAATAAGTCGAAAAGACCAGGTCTATATTGTTCAGTAACTTTGCTGGTGGTCTCCGTACTAAAAAAATGAATAATCGCTCGGGTTCAGTGGTACTCACAGTCTCTCGGTGTTCCTGGGGATGTTCCGCGGCACGTTGCGCAATCCCTGTCCGTGGCAGTCCACCGTGGTGCCGGAGCAAGAGCATGGAGCTGGGCACGGCTGGGGCTCCACTGCACTTAAAACAACCAGCAACAGCCCAAGTGAAAGGGACAAGATACGATACACGAGCATTTTCAGCAGTAAATGGTCTCTCGGCGATATGAAGAGCGCAATCAAAGCTAGATGAAAGTCTGCGTTTCACAAGACACAATGTCAATCACACGACGGAATACAGATTTAGATTCTAAGAAACCACCGGTAAGTGAGATGAAGAGAAAACAAGAGGTTTTCCTTTTAAGCACTTCGATGCAGAGGTCTGAAGTCGTTTGCCTGTGTGAGCACAGCAGCTTCCTTGAAACAAAGTCACTTCTTCAGGCAACAGAAGTGCAGTACACGTACTGATTGGATCTTTGATACTGCAGTAGTTAAGTCACAGAAAAAAGTTCGCCACACTATATATTAAAAACGCTGGTGTTGCTGTCGGTGCCTTGTACAGCTCGGGTCAAAATGTTATTTGATTATTGTAAACTGTTTGGATTTTCAAAACGTACACAGGAGAGGTCTGCGCGCAGGACATAAAAAGAGAAGGTAGTGATTTCTCTTCATACATTCATCATCTCGTTACTGAATGTCGGAAGTACAGAATGCTTTGTATCCAACTTCAAGTCAACAAAATGCTATACGAACAGCGAGAATGGGCAGGTCTGCAGCTATATCCAAAAATCCTCCAGAACTCTTCAACCGTATAAGAAATTAGGAGTCCCCGTCCTCCCTGAAGGTAGATGAAATGCTTGCAATAAGACGTCAGCCAATATTTAGCGCCTTGCCTCCCACACCGCTCTGAAGCAGACACCTGACGGCAAGTGGAGAGCTGCTCTCATTTGGAAAGCAACTGCAGCTCCTGACAATGACAATTACCGAAGTTATCAGTACACGCTTATCCGTTATTTCTCGCAATATTATTAAAAATATATATATATAATCCACAAACGTTATTTTTCTTGCAAAGCAGAAAAAAGGAAGAAAACCCCCGGAATCCTGAAAAAATAGGGGTGTTCCCTATGTAGCAATTGCGGCGACTGCACCAGGTTAAAAAATAAATAATGCAAAATATATTGCATAAAAACAAACACCAATCCGGGTCAGCAAAGCCCACAGTAAAGTTCGTGTTTTATAGAAAAGATGTTCTAAATTATATTATAATCCCTCTTCTTTTAAAGGTTTACTATTTTAATGCTGTTTTCTTGAAAGTTATTCATTTTTTTCTTCAAGAGCTGATTAGACGAAAATGTGTGTTTGCCTTGACTTTACATCCGATGCAATTATTCCGTTTCTCACATGGTTTAACTGAAGCAGTTGACAGCACTGAAAGAAACGCAGAAACTCGCACTGTTCCGAAACTAAACAAATTCGAAACCTTCATGGTTTAATGTTTTATACTCTGACATAACCCCGCCTACAATCCCACCCAAAATCCCATCCCTAGCCCTGCCTCCAGCCCGCTAGGCATCTGCTGTTGGATAAGCTTTGAACTTATTTACATAGGGACATACAGAGGTATAGTTTGAAATTCTAAGAAGTGAACGAGCTGATCCCGTACATTTCAACGTCTCATCCTTCTACCTGAGATGATTTTATTCTCCTGTCGTTTGTATCGTGAACGGGGATGAGGTAAATAGGCTTAAAGCTGAATAAAAGTAATAATAGTAATTTGACAAAACAATACATGAATTATTGCCGTATTTTAACAATTGCTTGAAGAATGCCTAGAAGCAAATACAGCTCCAAACTTGCAGTGACTGGGGACTAAATCAACTTCCTCTTTGAACCCCTCCTCATTCAAACGTGTTGCCAACTTTTGAGCTGATTGAATGAATTAACTTACAGAGAAGACAGTTATGTTGTTTTTGTGGAATCTAATATTACCAGCCAATTAAGGGACTGGTCAGTAACTTTCTGCTTAATGAGGAATCGGATTTTGGTTTCATCAATCAAATATCTCGAGTTTTATTTTAGGATAAGATTTACAGATGTTGACATTTGGAAAAAAGCTAACTGATTGCAGGTAACCTGGTATAGTCCTATAATGCAGAGGTTTCTGCTTTGTAAGGGAATGTTATAAATAATAAGATGCATGTTCTCTATAACATTTCACTATATACAGTATATAGAAATATTATATATAAATACAACAGAATGCTGAAACTGGGGTAATTCTCAGCAGTTGTGTTTTTAATTGCAGGAACTTGGTTAAACTGCATTTAAAGGAAGCATTACTTTGATCTTTATGCTGCATTTTGTTGCAATTACTTCAATGATAATAGTGATAATTTTAAATAAGGTTTTTTTTTATTTTTGGTGAAGCATATGAAGTTTCACTTTGATTGATTAAATGTTTGCAAAGAGGAGTTCTGAACACTCAAAAGTATAACACAGGCACCGCAGTATATGACATATTGACCTCCCTTTAAAAAAAAACTAAATTTTGAGCATCAGCCAAATAGACATTACTCAGTAAGTATCAAAATGCTGACAAGCAGCATCAGATACATTTTCCATCATCTCCAAACCATGTCATCATTTACTTTTAATTTTATTGGAGCACAATTTCAAAGATCTCTTTATCACAAGAAAGTTTCTGACTTTCAGTGCAGCAGTTTTGGTATTACAGAATGTTAACAATTTGGTAAAAAAAAAATAATACAAAATCAATGGGTAACCACCTCTTTCTGGGCCTAGTCTTCTAATTATGGGACAAAACGGTTCAAAACTTGAGCCACTTTCATTAAACTAATGATCTACCCTGTACAGGTAAAATCCCCTTCCTTTTCATATGCATCATATATAGTACATTCATTATGAGGGTAATTTGTCTTTATACTGCTTTTGAACTAAAAGTGCATCACTACAAAATACCTACATAAAGTGGTTGCTTATGCCACATTTTTACATAGTGTACTGTTGTCAGTAAGTAAGTTTGCTGTCATTTATTAATTTCAAGATATGGTTAATAAATATTTATCACCTTTTTAATTAGATGTCAAAGACTGCTAATGAGATTTTATGAAGGCAGAGGTCTTTTGAAGATGTATACTGTAAAACAACCATTGCTTTAAAAATAATCATGTCAGTGCTTGCTTTTAAAATAGGGACAGTGACTTAAAAAATAAATAAAACATTTTTCCAGAATTGCCTTAAAGACAAAAGTTGTTTCACGCAAATAAAATATCATGCATCTTTTAAAAGACAAAACTGTATGAATTGAAATGCTTTACATACCTTTCTTTCTTGTGTAAAACCACAAACAAAAAGCTCTCAGGGCATATTTCTATTGAGAGAGCTATTTCTGTGCATTTTGTTTTGGTATAAAATGTGCTTCATTGTAACAGGAGTTTTTCTTTGTCTGTAGTTTATTACACAGATAAATGTCCTAAAGGCACAAGCACATTTTGCACTAATGACTTGCTTTCAAAGTTAGTCACAAAAAGACCAAGGAATGATACAGTATTAGAGCTGGCTAAACAACTTTGTTCACCCCCAGAGAGAGAGCCTCCAGGGTAGGGGCAAGGCACTTTGCCAGAACATGATGCAGAAAGCTGCACCTGCATTATGTACTACCAGAAGTGAGCTCTCCCTTGGATCTGCTGTTAGTGCTTTGTTTTAACAAACAGCAAAACAAAGGGCCACATTCCCAAGCAGTTCACACAGTATGAAATAGTTTATTGTATTTTTATACAGCTATCTGGAGATTTTGTCTTTGTTTATATCTGTGCATGCTTGTTTATTTAACTTTTCACAAGAAGTATTTTTTGTTGAAATTATTCCCATAAGAGCTGCAGAAATCTTTAGGTATTGCAGGAAAATAGAAGGGATTACTACAGCACTATAATTTACACAAAAATACAGGTGGGTGTCAGTGAACAGTTGAGTACTGACTCATAGTGGGATTTTTTTGGTGTTTTTATAAAAGATATGTCCTCTTTTTTTGGAAATTGTATCAGGAAGTATTAATGCCATTTACAATCAACTTTACTTTCTATGTAAAAAATGTAATTGAGGATAGAAAAGGGCTTAATCTGGTCGTCATGGCAGAAGTTTATTTTATGAATTGGGCTGAGGAGAAGACCTGTTCATAGGGCAAAACGTTATCTTATTTCCTGTGATACCTAAAGCTATGCATTTAAATTAAATTTAAAACATTGATATACAGAAACAGAATAGAAATTAAAACTTGAGTTTTCATAAATTTTGTAAATGTGTGATTTTCTGTTTGACAAATCCAATAAGAAAGTGAAAAGAACTTTTGCTTTCACATAGTGGTCAAATTCGGGTGGAGCGGTGGCTCTGTGGCTAAGGATCTGCGCCTGTGGCTGGATGGTTGCTGGTTCAAATCCTGCAGCTAGCAGAGGAATCCTACTCTGTTGGGCCCCTGAGCAAGGCCCTTCACCCCAGCTGCTCCACAGGTACTGTACAATGGCAGACCCTGTGCTCTGACCCCAGGCTCTCTCCCTATCTATGTGTCTCATGGAGAGCAAGCTGGGGTATGTGAAAAGATAATTCCTAATGCAATAAATTGTAAGGGTTAATAAAGTGATGTTATTGATATTATGTTATTAAATTGCCACAGGAGTAGAAATATACAGTATGCAGTAGCTAGAGTTGTATGATCAGACTAACGAACTGAGAGAACTTAATACAAATACTTTAAGTGTTCTCTTATCTAATTTTCTAGATAAGTTAGTTTCACAATGGATGTTACACAACAAAGAAAGATGGGGCTCAGCACTGAGGTCCTCTATCATGTCTCTGCTTGATTATTATTGGTATTATTGTTAAGATGAGCAATGTCATGTAGTGTTGTCTGTTGTCTCTGTAGATGTCTGAATTATTTTATCAGTTTAATTTTCCATTCAAGTTTTATATCAAAGGATGCAACATAAAGAACACAGTAAATGATTCTGTGAACTACTGCAAGGAGAAATCAATACAAGTTCTTGAGTGATCTGTCAGGTAACAATAGAGGCACTTTAAAACTGTGAGTTGAAAATCAGGCATTGGTAGTCAAGCTCCCCTTTTCTAGTCTATGGTATCTTTTGCATAGATTTTGGTTCTGTTTTAATTTCTCATGTTCTTCTCTTGTTATACAATATGAAGTAGAGTGGTTAGTCTAATAAAATGATGTCTTAAAGGCAGATATGATAGCAAGCCTTGCCCTCAAATCCTTAAACAAGTACTGTATGTGCATGACAAAGGTTGGAAAACAAAAAATAGTAGGTCCCAGAAGATGAAAAACTAATTGTTGATTTTACATTAAAAAACAGAAGAAAATAAAGCTTTGCCTCTTCCCAATATGAGTGTATTTATCATAAATAAAAAATGTTGCAGTTGTCTTATGCAGTTCATGTACTGTAATGTTTGCTTTTTACTTTTAGTTTGCTTTTGACACATAGTCAATGTACTGTAAGTACATTGCTTCTTTGATGTTGTTGTTGTCAGAAAGAGTAATCTGTCATTTGTGGGAAAAAAATGGTAGAAAGCATTAGTTTCTTGGAAACTAGGTGAAGAAGTCTCTGAGTGTTCCTTTGCAGCCTACACATGCTGACTCAGCTACCTAATCAAATGTACTGTAAGTACATGTTGGCTGTCCCAGAACACACAAAAAGAATGGGGATGATCTGAAAAATACTGATGTTGTTTGTAGCTTTAGTCTTTGGGAATGGCTCTTTGTTTTAGCCTTGTTCCTATCTGCTTGTGAAAGAATACTCTTCTCCTTGTCAAAGCCACTTGATTTTTATTTTGTCGTGAATAAATCCTGTCAAACACCATAACCACATTTTCAACCTTAATTAATTTAGGTTAACAAGTTAAATACCCCTCTGTTGTCTTTCCGTTAATGAGAGAGATTGCTTCAACATTGCAGTTTGACTTACATCTTAGATGAGTTAGGAGGTTGTGAATGCATGAAATAAGGAGAGAGCATATATTATTAGTATGAATATGGAAACGTGTTCTTTTGCTTATTCTTTGTAATAACAAATTAAACTGACAAATAAAGGATACGATATTAGAACAGCTGAGATAAAATCAACCCTTATATAAAACTATGCTCTTCTGTAAACTATAGTTTGTGATTCTAGAACTCTTTGCTGTTATCATATCCTGCTTAGGAATATTTTCTTGGTGAACTTTCTCTGGATTTCATGAAGAGTATTTATGCACCTGTGCAATCAGCTAGTCTTTGGCTTGAAAATTAGTTAATAAGTGCAAATAGTTTTTATGTCATTCAAGCAAGTTCTGTTGTCATGAAATACTAGTTAAACATTGTGGCAATAAGACTGCTTTGCAGAGGATGTTAGTAGCAAAGAAAGTATAATAGTTATTTG